TGACCCTTCACCTCGCCAGCCCCTTGCCCAAGCTGATTGAGCTATCCCGTTGCCCCTAGTGCACGGGTGTGTTCCGGCCCAAGCGGTTGCCTATCATCATGGCACACAGGTGCCTGTCATCATCGATATATAGGAGACCCTTCACATCGGTGCCAAGTCACCTCCTCGGCCATAGTCGCCTTGCATTATGGTCATCCCCCTTTAGCACGTAAGCGGCGCCTCCCATGGACCAGTTTGAGCCAGTAGAGTGCCCCGGTCATTGGACTTGAGGTCATGATCCAGTGCTACTGACTTTGGTGGAGCCTTCCCATCGGGCAACTCCTAGCCTCTAAGCGTATAAAGGCTTGTCCTGGCCTACCTTGGCCTGGACGCTGCACGGATTTCTTCTGCTGTAGAACTACCCCGTGACAATTGGTATCAGAGCGAGCTAGCCAATTGCAGCCGCAGTTGGTTTTCAGCAGATTAGCCCAGAGCCAATTGAAGCGGTCATCACGACAAGCAGCAAATTGTGGGGTGCGGTCCCTAGGCACTTCCACCCAGGATAGAGCAGAATTCAGATCAGGCCTAGCAAGAGGCCATTTCATTGTTCGTGTCCCCATTCCAATGACCCTAAAACAACTTCCCTTGCGGTGGTAGACGCATTGGTTGTTGTCCTCATGCGGGGCAGACGCGTGAGCCTTGATAGGAATGTGGGTACACTAGCCGTTGGAGCATAGCGGCCCTACACCGGCAAAGTATTAGGTGGACATGCTCAGTTTTCAGGTGGATCACTTGCAGCAGTAGAAGCGCATCACAAGGTGAGTGCATGTTCGGCAGCTCATGGGTAAAAGTTGCTACACTCGTGTTCAAAGCGGTCAGGTCTCCTTGAGGCAGTAGCAGTGGGGCCCCCTTGGAGTGAAGATGTAGCTCGAGTCGGTGGGGCGAAGCGTAGTTTCGAGGGCCMAGAGAGCATAAGCCATGGCTAGGTTTGAGTAACCCGAATCGACGAGGTGAAGTCTGCAGGCCAGCATGGTGAAAGGGTACCCAAGTCATTGCCAACATGAGTAGACCGATCAACGTGTTTGGTAGCATCACTGAAAAGCTACCAAGAAGACGGTTGAACCTTGAGGTAAGATGATACATGGGGCGAACCTCCGCGAAGCACCACACACATTTCTTCGAGGGCCCTTCTTTCACAGTTCAACAGCATAGCCATTGTGCGGTTTGAGTAACCTCAACACAGGGGGTGAAGTCCAGGCAGGCCGACATGGTGAAATGGTTCCGTCCCTATAAATGGACACCAACATAGGCAAGACCCGGGCTAGCCAGACGAGCCCTGGAACTGGCAAAGAAGTGGATGACGCGGGACACAGGTGCCCATTCACGAGGAAGACCATTGTCGAGGACGACAATGGATTGAGTGGGGGAGCCTGTTATGGTCTGACACGGGCTTAGCCTTGCCTACGCTTGGCAGGCTTATGTTAGGGACATCACTGTCATTTTCGCTTGTAAGATTTTTGGGAGAATTGATGTTATCTTCAGGCAGACCACCAAAAGCTTAACGTACTCTTTGAGGAGGGGTGGTCGACCTCCTTGGGTGCCTAACCTTGGCACTCCTAGACCTTCATCCCCTTGTGGGGCGGCCCTGGTTAACGGCTAGCATGGCTACCAGGGTTCCTCATGGGCGCACACATGCTCATGGGGACAGTGTTGGACCGGCACTGTGCTGCCGATACTCAAGGGAGGCTTGGCATGCGGGCCTGGCTCAAGCATGACCCTTCACCACGCTAGCCCCTTGCCCAAGCTGAGTGATCTACCCCGTTGCCTCTAGCGCACGGGTGTGTTCTGGCCCAAGCGGTTGCCTATCATCATGGCACACAGGTGCCTGTCATCATCGGCATTCAGAAAACCCATCACATCGGTGCCCAGTCACCTCTCCGATGCATAGTCGCCTTGCATTATGGTTGTCCCCCTTTAGCGCGTAAGCGGCGCCTCCCATGGACCGGTCTGAGCTAACAGAGTGCCCCGACCATTGGATTTGAGGTCATGATCTAGTGCTACTGACTTTGGTGGAGCCATCCCATCGGGCAACTCCTAGCCTCTAAGCGCACAAAGGCTTGTCCTCGCCTACCTTGGCTTGGACGCCACACGAGTTTCTTCCGCTGTAGAACTACCCCCATGACACTTCGCTGCCAGAGTTGGAAGCGTCATCTACTGCATGTGTAGCATCGCCCACATTAATAGTTTGTGCCCCAGAATTTGCACCACCGCCACCCCACCCACCACCACCACCACCACGGTCAGCAAGAGCTACACGACCACCAGCACCAGCACCAATACCAGTAATAGCAGAACGGGATATGCATCTATACAACAATGTAAGAAACCAAAAAAACCAAGGAATTCCCCACAAGGACCGTCCCGGCAACTGGGAACCAGGTAATGCAAGGAGCGTACAATAATAGGATTACTCCGACTATGACAGCCAAAAAAAAATGAAGGAAATGAGCCATATGCAGATGTTGCTAGTTGTCTTTGGATCTGGAACTGGCATTGATGGTGAAACAAAGAAATCAGAGAGAGCTGAGGACGAAAATTTGGTCTTTCTCCTCCTCTTCGTCCATTTGAATTTTATGTAACAATGGTTATCTTGGCAAGATGAAAACAGGATTCATATGAGATGGGCTGCAACTTCCTCTGTATCTTGCGTTTGTCTGGGTAGTGGATGGGTTTCTGTTGTTGCAGGAAGCCTGAGGAATGGGATTTCACACGGTGGACAGATTCAACAGGTAGTTTACGTAAAACAAGGTTTAATTAAAGAAACCCACGACATGGAATGACGGAAACATGAGAGAGACATTGACTACTGTGTGTACATGAAGCCACCTGCCAATTTGATCACCTTGTCTAGTTCTTGGGTGACTAAAATTTATATCCTCAAACACAGTCGTGGACCATGTCTATAAATAGAGATCAGATCCATTTCATTATGAGAGAACATGTTCTGAATCTTAAAGGAGCTATTTGCAAATTACGGGATGATTCTTTTAAATGCTGGCTTCCTTGTGAGCGTGAATATCCAACATATCGTGCCATGATCCCTCAAGTGAAACTGAAATATGAGTTCAGCATTGAGGAACTTGTCATTTGCATTTTCATCAATGTTGCCACAGGAGAATCTTTGCTGTATATGGAGACGTAGCTGAATGTGATTGGGTTGTCGTAGCCCCTGGTTGGCTGGTTATGAGTGTTATAACACCATTGTAGTCAAAATAAACTTGGCATAGGCGATATTCATGAATCATGAGCGATTAGGACACTAATTTATAATTTCTACCCAAAATCTATACTTTCTTTGTTACTTGGTTAATAAGGGGTTAGGCCAAATGTAGGTATCGCTTGATACTATAGGAAAGAGTAAAAGTGAAAATCCTCAAAACAGTCATACACTGTCTACAGAGAGTATGGCTGAATTTGGCATTCCTTATTTTTAAGACTTATCTCTTTTTTGCAGTTAAAATGCCCCTATGAACAGTGAGTTTTAAGTGCAAAAAGGAGATAAGTCCTTAAAATAAAGAATGCCAAATTCAGCCTAAAGTAGGTTTGCCTGCATTAACATGGCGATCACAGTCATACACCAATGTCTATAGAATATACCACGAACCTTTCGATGTCAATTGTCATCTGATGGATCCTCGCCAGAAGCCATATAGAACGACCGCGCTTGTGCTTGACGTCTTGAGATGTAAAAACATACTGTAGAAAGATAAAATTAATAGCCCATACCTATCTCCTTACAATATTGAGGAATTCTCATAAGAAACCAGCTCCATGAGGTACTCTGCTCGCCCCCCCCCCCAAGCATCCATCCATCCATTCGCCTGCCCATGGACAGCAAATTTGCTTCCCCTCAAGCTAGTTAAAATAAATGTAATATTCACCAAATAACAAAAAAAAAAAATCATCAAAAAAAAAGAGGAAGATGTAATGCATTGCTCAATGAGAATAAGATAAAATACATAAGCCTTATTGAAAGAGGAAACGATTATTCATGCACATTTAGTGAGATTTGATCATACTAACAGGAGATTCATCATTCATGCCTTCACATTGTCATCCAACATTTGTATTCACCCATCCAGTTTCCTCTAGTAGACAAAGAGACATGCATTCTAAGCTTTGCTTGTGTTCAATGGTGTGCAGATTTTGGACCAACCAAAGATCTCAATGGTCCCCTCTTGAAGGAAAGCAAGGAAGTTCCTGTCTGTTGCCAACAGCTATATTCCATCCACAGGCAGCTTATCTAATGCCAGTAAGTTCCTAGAACTAGAAGGCACTCAAAAGAGATAAGCCCAAAGAATAACACTCTTCCAACTCTTCCATTTGCTTCTTTTTCACAAGGTCCATATTCAAAATTGGAGCCCTTGATCATCACCTATATAACCAATAATGTGTATCAGAACCTGTGAGGAGGGGGCATTGAGGATATACCAGTCATCTTAGGAGGTTGTCTGAACAGCAGTGAAGTTAGAGGTCTGATCAGTTTCAGCCATGACAGACATCAGCACTTTTTGCCTCTTCTGTTCTTGTGCCTTCCTTCGGTTGGCTTCTAGGATAATGAGGAGAGCAGTAATATCAGCAGGGCTCACACCACCCACTCTGCTAGCTTGGCCTATTGTCTGTGGTCGGACCTGAGAGTGATAATGAGGAGAGCAGTAATATCAGCAGGTCTGATCAGTGTCTGACATGCATGACCAAACAAATTTGACATGACAATTCTTAAAATGGATTTTCCTTTTTAAATAGTATTTCTTCAATTAATCCGTTTAAAGTGGAATCACAATTTATTCTCTAATATCTAGCAAGAGGTGTTCCTAGGAGATCCATAACACATAACTTTGTCACTTAATTGGATAATTCAATTACACACCTTAGAAAGTTTTTCACGTGCTTCCAAGGACAAAGTTGACATTGTGAAATAATCCAGGTCTTCTGGAAGTGCTCTATGCTGTTGATGAGCAATCTACACGTAGACAAGAACCGAGAAATTTCAATATGATATGTTTTACCAGAAGAGAAAAAGGAAATGAAACTCATGGAAATTCATCACCAAAAAATCAGCTTACCTGTTGGAGTTGGATTTGCTGGCGCGTAATAAAACCTTCATACTTGATATCAATCTCTACACATTCTTTCTCCACCCGAGACAGGAGTTCATTTCCAAAACCATGCTTATCAAGAACTTTATATTCTGTATGTGGTTTCTTTAGGAGAGACTCTAATGTTGAAAAATTTTTCACAGGCTGACCAGACAACCGAGTAACATCGGAAGCCAAATCTCCCCCTTTAGAAAGTAGACAAAGATAATCAAGTTTCAGCCATCCAAAAATGAATAATAGTCTGTATAATATTTAACTTAGAAAAATATCTGGAGGTACAACATTGAGATTATAGGACGAATGACTAGAGGCAAGAATTCAATGCAACTTGGGTGGGCGTAGGTTGAGCCCAGCACACAAGGCTCCTCTCAATGCTGGTCTGGAGAGGGATAGATGTACACAGCCTTGCCCCTGCATATACAGAGAGGCTGTTTCCAAGATTTGAACACTGGTCACCCAGGTCGGAATGGAGCAATCCAACTGTTGGGCCAAGGCCCACCCTTGTCCTAGGTTGAGCATATATTAAAATTTGAATATTGCTCTTGGTCCCAAAAACTCCAAAACCAACCCGTGGCTGAGTTGGGCTGAGCATACACATACACCTCTTTCCTCTTCTTTCCTGTCCATCTCTTCTTTCTGAATTCCTTGACTGCCATTTGAACTTGAAATTCCTTTTCCTTGGGTGACTAATCTCTCAAGATACTCTTACCTTCCATTTGGAATTTCCCCCCTTTTCTTTAATGTTTTTACCTTTATCCAACTATCACACAAGCCCATGTGGTTAAAGGTAATTCTATGAGTTGAACAGTTTTCTGGAAACTGGGGGTTGGTTTTGGCTTTCTGTTTTTATATTTGCCTAGTTTCAATTTCCAAACCATCTTTAAAAGGTCTCTCCCCAACCTTTTTTTTGTTGATAGGTAATGGTTACTATTAATTAGAAAAGATAAAATTATAACAAAGAATTGAGGAGTTGTTAAGAGATCTGTTATGCAGGAGAGAAGAATGGAAGAAGAGAGAAGAGAGAACTGAGAGCAAAGATGCTACTGGCGGCGCAGCTTTTTTAATATATATACTAGGGCGACAACTAAAATAAAAAAGAGTAAAAGTACAATAGTACCCCTGCGGTACTATACATAGGAAAAGTAACAACTGTTAACACTCCCCCTCAAGTTGGGACATAGATGTCAATCATGCCCAACTTGTCACATAAATCTTGATACCGTGAGTGGTGTAGTCCTTTTGTAAAGATGTCTTCAAGTTGATCCTCAGAGCTGACATAGGGAGTACACACTTCCCCTGTGATAACCTTCTCTCTGATAAAATGCTTGTCGACTTCGATGTGCTTAGTTCTATCATGTAGCACAGGGTTAGCAGCAGTGTTTATGGCTACTTTGTTATCACAAAATAGGGTCATAGGTCTGTCCATTGGAAAACCCAACTCACTCAACATATTCTTTATCCACATAATTTCAGCCACTCCATGAGCCATTGCTCGATATTCAGCTTCAACACTGGATCTAGCTACCACACCTTGCTTTTTGCTTCTCTAGGTAACTAGATTTCCTCCTATGAAGGTACAGTAGCCACTAGTTGACTTTCTGTCATTTAGGGATCCTGCGCAATTTGCATCAGTATACACTTCAACTTTTAAATTCCGTGCCTTTGAAACAACAAGCCAGCACCTGGAAAACTTTTAAGGTATCGGAAGATTCTTTCTGCTGCTTCAAGATGAGTGGTCATAGGGGCATGCATGAACTGGCTAAGGACACCAACTGCATAAGCAATGTCTGGGC